CTCCACCGGGGGGGGGAACAAAAGCCTCTCTCCCAGTACCACCTACCCCTCCCTCCTGGAGGACGGCCGCGTGGAGTACAGAGTGGCCCTGACCGAGGACCGGCCGGGATGCCCCGGCTTGAGGAGATCCACATCCGAGGACCCCGCTGGGAGGACATGGAGATCCAGGTCACCAGGAGGGCCCGGGGACGCTGGCAGGGCTTCCTCTGGGGCGCCAGCGGCATGTCCGTGTGCCCCCCCATCTGTCCACTCGGTCACTCCCCTCACTCGTTCTCGGGGGTCTCCTGGGGGGACTAGCCTATTGGGTCTGTGCTGTGCAGAATCCAGCGATGAGCCCCCAGGGCTCAGAGGCCCATGGGAAAATGTGGAAAGGAGCTGGGCTGGGGTCCATGGCAGGAGGCTGGAGCCCTGAGCGTGGGTGGGAGGCCCCAGGCAGCCGTCAGGGCTCTCCTAGGAAAGGCAGGGTGGGCTGAGGTCTAAGGTGAGCTCGTGCCACCAGGCCAAGCAGCAGGGCTGATGTCTGCACGGAGGTTCAGCTCTGTGCTGGAGGAAGGGGACCTGGCAGGTGTAGGCAGATTAGGGAGTGGACGTGTGCGCCTCGGCGTGGGGCACAGTGCTGACACGGGCAGCTCAGAATGGGTGTGGGCTCTGCAGTTCCTTTGGGAGCAGAAGCTTGGAGGAGCCAGGAAGGCATTTGTGTGTGTCCCCCAACAACACGCATGCTGAGAAGGGCACTCGGGAGGGGACAGAGTTAGTGTGGGGGAAGTAGCACTAGGGAACACTTGGAGAGAGACCCAAGTTTGCGTGGCCTCTGCTGCAAAGATGGGCAAGCCCAGGCCTCCCACCTCCACCCCATCCCGTGAAGAGCTCCTCCAGGCCCCGGGGAGGGTCCTGCCCGCTGTCCTGCCCCGCCCGAGCCTGGCCCGGGTCAGCTTTGGCGACTGCGTGGTGAGCAGAGGAATGCAGGGATGGAGGGACGATAAGTGGGAAGGGTTCCCGAGTGTGGGGCGGGCGACAGAGATGGGTTCCTCAGGGAGCTTCTGCACAGGGCCTGGCTCTGCCTCTGCAGGTTTACAGGCGGTACAACGACCAGTACGGCGACCTCACCCGCCCAGACATCACCTTCACCTACTTCCAGCCTAAGCAGCAGCCGGCCTGGGCGTGGGCCGCCGTGCGCGGGCCCTGCTCGGTGAGCTGTGGGGCAGGTGAGGCCTGGGAAGGGCTGGCCCGCAGCACAGCCTCCGCCTGCATGGAGGTGGCCTAGCCTCCTTCTCCCCCTGCAGGGCTGCGCTGGGTGACCTACAGCTGCCTGGACCAGGCCAGGGACACGTGGGTGGAGGCCACCTGGTGCCGAGGGAACCCGCAGCCGGCAGCGTGGCCGGAGTCCTGCACCCCCAAGCCCTGCTCCCTGAAGTGAGCCCTGTGTGTCTGTGTGGCTCCTGGCGGGCGCCCTGGCTCTCGGGCCCGTGGGCTTGCTGGGTGGTGCTGCCTGTGCTCTCATCAGCCCTGAGGACTGCCCCGCGCGGGCGGCTCCGTCAGGGTCCCCACTGTGGTGAGGACAGACTCGGGTGTCTTGCCTGCTGCCTGAGGGCGGCACCCCGAGACCTCTGAGCTCAGTGCTCATTGCTGGATAGAGGCGGTCACTCCCGGGAGGGCCCTGGGGAGGCTCAGTGGGAAGCACCGCAGCTCGGGCAGCTCCCCACAGCTCCCTGGTACCTCTCCAGCCCAGCAGCTCCCTCAGCTCCCGCGGCTCCCTCGGCTCCCTCAGCTCCCTGGCAGCTCCCACAGCTCCCGCAGCTTTCCAGCTTTCTTGCAGCTCCCCTGCAGGCAGCTCCCCAGCAACCCCCCAGCAGCATGGGCTGGGGCAAGGCGCTTTCAGTTGGGCTCTTGCTGAGAGGTGCCCCAGGCAGTTCTGCAGGGCAGGGCCCCCTTGAAGAATGGTTTGGGAACACCTGCAGAGTTGGTGGGTGTTCCCTGCCAGAAGGCCCCCACCTGGAGGCTAGCCTGAGGGCCAGCCCGAGCTGCAGTCTCTCCCCGGCAGCTGGGGGCAGCCCTGCACCTGGGAGTGGGTTGGGGCACCGTGTTTTGGTGTTGCGTGTGCTGTGTGGAGGCCAACCAGCTCCCAGCCTGCCCCACCCTCCCCTTAGCATGGGAGTGGTAAGCCACTCCCTGGCAGGGCTCACCCCTGCACTGAGCCCTGCCCCTCCCGAAGGCTCCCTCTCCCAAGGCCTCTGGCTGTGTCGCATTTGGTGACAGGCAGGGTGCGGGCTGCTGATGCCCAGAATGGCCGACTGCCCTGCCAACCTGGCCGGCCAGCTCCCTCACTGCACTTCTGGGCCCTGCTAGGAAAGGGGGTTGGGAAGCTGTCATACAGGCCACGAGGACCAGAGGGCTGCACAGGAGGCCGCAGTGTCACTTCACTGTCAACGTCATCTTTTCCACTGTGCCCATGTGGCCGCCTGCCATCTCCTGTCAATGATGGCAGCTTGTCATTCTGCCTGGCCACTAACGGCTGGTCAGCCCATGTGCGGTCCCCTCTCTCTGGGCTCCGGTTCTGTTATCTGTCCAGTGGAAGGAGCTGCACATGGCCCTGGGCTCCCCTTCCCCTCGTGTCCGTGTCCACGACAGCAGAGCCGTCTCCACTCCTTCCCGCTGAGGCGTGATGTGGCCTCGGACTCTTCCTCAACGCAGTGCTGAGGCAGCCACCACCTCGTGGGGTGTTGCACAGCCCGCGTGTCCCCGAACCTGGTGATCAGATTCCACTTGGTATCTGACTGCCAGCGCCTGCCGAGGTGCATGGAGCGTGTCCTCGCCTGGCTGGGGGTGTGCCTTCACCTCCAAGGATGGGAAGGACAGGCCCCATCTCCCCCCACGCGGTACCAGGAGGCAGGTCTGGCTGCCAAGCAGACAGGAAGCCTAATGAACATGGTGGTTGATCCAGCATGGCAGGGAAGGACCTCTGAGCTCTGCTTCTTTGTGGGGCACCTCTTTGGGCTCCTGGATGTTGGGGGGCAGCTGATGGTTGTCTCGTGCCGTCCCCAGCCTTCACACGTCAGACTTCAGAGAAGACCTGGCCTCGCAAAATGTGACACGGGCTCCAGGAGCGAGGGGACTGGAAGCCCCTGCGACGGCGGGACCGTGCCCCACAGACGGGAAGCCACCTGTCCTCAGGACTTGCGGTGCAACGGCGTGTCCTCCAGGCTGGGGTGATGTGAGTGCCTCAGGACAAGGGTCGCCGGGGCCATTGGGTCATCTGGCTGGAGAGTGAGGAGCCCTGACTTGCATCGTCCTTCAGGCCAGGGCCAGAACACAGCCCTTCTGTGGGCCTTCCCCTTGCGGGAGGAGAAACCTAGAATCAAGCCCCACAGACCACCTGGGAGCCCGCGCACGCCAGGCCAGGAGTGCCAGGCCATAGGAAGCCCCGGGAGGTGGAGTTCTGCTGTGCAGAGTTGCTGCTGCACTCCCGCTGCTGTCCGGCCGAGGCCCAGCCGCCTGGCTCTGGGGCAGGGTGCCAGCCACCCTTGTCCCTCACAGCTGGTGGGACTGAAGGACTGAGTGTGCTTGCAGATCCCACCAGCGCTCAGCCCTACCCTACAGCAAACCCTCAGGCTGACGAGCCTGCGAAGGCCAAGGTGGGCTGTGGGGACCCAGAAGCATGTCTCCCCAGAGGAGCAGCCGAGAGGGGCCCCGGTGTGCTTGGGCACCGCCTGTTCTCTCTGCTCTCTCCCAAAAGGACTGAGATAGGTGTGGGGGAGCTGGGACCCCCAGACCCTCCAGCTGTCGCTTGTCCCCCACAGGTGGACGCTAAGTCTCCAGGGGCGGACTCTCCATCAGGCAGTGCCACGCCGGGGGCTCCCACTGTGCACTTGTGGACCCCTCTAGCTGGGCCCTGCTCCGTCTCCTGTGGACACGGTGAGGGCCCCAGACACTCCTGAAGACCAGCACTCATTGCCAGCTCTCCCACTTACCTACCTCTTGCCCGCTTCTAAAGAGCATTTGAGATGGCTTTTTAGAAATCCAGACTACGCGAGAGCGTGGCCTAGTTTGTAAGGAGATCCGGCAAAGGACCGACAACCATTTTTAGTGTGTTGCTTGATTGGCTGAGAGACAGGCAGTACCGGCTCCCGGGAGCGCATTCTCTGGGTCCCAGCAGACGTGCACGAGGTGCCGGGATGATGATCAGAGCAGAGAAACAGAAATGATTGAAAAGCACTCGGTGATTTCCCTCCAGACTTGTTACTGTGCTACACACATGTAAAACTGACTACATGCAGTCCAGAGCCCCAACCACCACCATAACCCCTGGCGACCCACGAGCTGCAGCTTTCGGTGCACACGCAGATGTGGCATTGCCAGGTTGTACGTGGTTCCGTGTTGCTGTCTGTGGGACCACCCTCCGGGTTCCACAGCAGCTGCCCCCGTTTACATTCCCACCAGTGGGCACAGGGCTCCCGTGTCCTACATCCTCGCCAACACTTCCTACCTCTGTTATTGTTTAAAGAATTCTTTTATTATTTATTTATTTTAACTTGACCAGAGAGGGACTGAGAGGAGAGAGAGAGAGAAATAAGAAAGGAAGCTTCTAGGTCTGGGATTCAAACTGCAGTCGGCCATGTGGGAGTCCAGGGCCCTTAACCACCACGCCAGCACTTTTTTTTTTTTTTTTTGGAGAGTAGTCATCCTAATAGGTGTGAGAAGATACATGGTGATTTTTTTGTTTTAAAGAATGATCTGTTTTATTTATTATTAATATTTTTTAAAGTTTGCTGTGAGGTACATGCACTCATCATAGAGACACGCACACGCACACACACATGCAGAAAGCCACCAGGTCTGGGGCTGAAACTGCAGTCCGCCATGCGGGAGCCCAGACCTGAGCCCAGACCTGAACCCTGCACCACTTGCTGGCCTGGTACACAGTGTTCTTAAAACCCTAACCACTTGTTCAGTACAACCCCCAGGGCTGAGGCTGGAAAGAGATTTCTTTGGAGGGTATACTTCTTTAAAAAAGAATTATCCATATTATTTTATTGTTATTATTATTTTCCAATTTTCTACAGGACACCTGCACTCATGAGAGAGAGAGAGAGCGCAAGCCACTAGGTCCAGACCTTGACCCACGGTTGGCCGTGTGGGAATCCAGTGCCCTAACCACCACACCACTTGCTGGCCCATTGGAGGATACCGTTAGAAGAGAGATGAGGGGTGTTGGGGCAGTGGACGGCATCGTGGGTTAAGGTGCTGGATTCCTACATGGTTGACTAGCTTGAGTTCCGGACCTGCTGACTTCAAACTCGCACCGAGTGCGTGTGCGTACATGCCCAGAATCCCAGGAGGAGAGTGGAGAAGGGATTGAGGCGTGGCTATCCCCCCTTAGAAGGGGGATAATTTCTTGCTTTCTGTCTGTCTCTCTTTCTCTGTCTCTCTGGGCAGCGCATGTGCCCTAGAGCAAAAATATCTCAAAAAAAAAAAAAAAAAAAAAAGAGAGAGTTGTGCAGGGCCCAACAGGTGGCAGAGTAGTTGGGGTGCTGGACCCCCCATAGCTGGCCGGGATTCGAGTCCCAGACCTGGCTTGAGAGTCATGCCAGGCACAGTGCATGCGCGTGCCAAGTCCTAGGAGAATGAAGACGTGATGCAGCATGGCATCCCCGGAGGGTGATTGCTTGCTCTCTCTCTGGCCAGCGCACTTGCTGTATGGCAAAAACCTTTGAAAAAATTTTAAAAAGATATGTAAAAACTAGCCCTGGTATGATAAGCACAGTAAGAGATTTTCACATAGAAATTAAATTTTTTTTTTTTAGTTTTTTTGCCATGTGACATGTGTACTCACTAGAGAGAGGGGGGAGGGAGAGAGAGAGAGAGGAAAATGAGAAATCACGCTCCGGAGGGGATGGCTGTGCCACAATCCTTCCTTCTCCATTCTCCTCTCAGAGGTTTGTGCATGCATGCACATGTTCCTGGTGCGATTTTTAAAAAAAATTATTTATTTGAGACCAGTAGATGTTGTCATGGTTAAGTTGCTGGACTCCCACATGGCTGACCACAGTTCAAATTCAGGACCTGGAGGCTTGAAATTCACACCGGGCACATGTGTGTGCATGCCCAAAATCCTGAGAGAATGGAGGAGAAGGGATTGTGGCATGGCCAACCCCTGTGAAGGGTTATTTCTCACTTTCTTTCTTTCTTTCTTTTTTTTTTTTTTTCGTTTTTGGAGAGGTTTTTGCTACAGGGCACATGCGCTTGCCAGACAGACAGAGAGAGACAGAGAGATAGAAAGTGAGAAATCACCCCTCAGGGGGAATGGGCACGCTGCAATCCTTTCTCCTCCATTTTCCTCTCGGGATCTTGGGCACGTGCGCTCACGCGCCCAGCATGAGTTTTTTAAGCCATCAGGACGCGAACCGTGGTCGACTATGTGGGAATTCAGAGACATAGCCATTATGCTAACTGCTGGTTCTCACTTTCTGTCTCATGTGCCCTATAGCAAAAACCTCTACAAAAAAATTATTTATTGGGGCTGGCAGGTGGCATGGTGGTTAAGGTACTAGACTCTCATATGGCCAGCCATGGTTCGAGTCCTGGCCCCAGTGACTTGCTTTCTCACTCTCCCTCTCTCTGTCTGTCTCTGGTCAAATTGAATAATAATAATAAATTAAATAATTATAAAAATATTTATTATTATTTTTAAAAAAATTTGCTATAGGGCACATGTGCTTACCAAACAGAGAGAGGAAGCAAGAAAGCAAGTCAACAGATCCAGGACTCAAAACGCAGTGGCCGTGTGGAAGTCCAGCACCTTAACCACCATGCCACCTGCTGGCCCTACTTGACATGAATTTTAAGCTTCCAGGTCTAGGACTCAAACCATTGAGATAGTTATGTGGGATCCAGCATCTTAACCTTCTTGTCACCTGCTGACCCCATATAGCAATTCTTAAAATTTGTCTTAAATAATCACAGTGACTTGCTTCCTCACTCTCCCTCTCTCTGTCTGTCTCTGGTCAAATTGAATAATAATAATAAATTAAATAATTATAAAAATATTTATTATTATTTTTAAAAAAATTTGCTATAGGGCACATGTGCTTACCAAACAGAGAGAGGAAGCAAGAAAGCAAGTCAACAGATCCAGGACTCAAAACGCAGTGGCCGTGTGGAAGTCCAGCACCTTAACCACCATGCCACCTGCTGGCCCTACTTGACATGAATTTTAAGCTTCCAGGTCTAGGACTCAAACCATTGAGATAGTTATGTGGGATCCAGCATCTTAACCTTCTTGTCACCTGCTGACCCCATATAGCAATTCTTAAAATTTGTCTTAAATAATCAATAGCATCTACCATTTTTCCATATTGCCAGAGGGCATGTGTGCTTGCCAGAGAGAGACAGAGAAGAAGGAAGGGGGGGGCCTGGTGGGGTAGTCATGCCACTGCCCCTTCTCCATTTCTCCACCCATCTGGATTTTGAGCATGCGTGTACGTGTACTCAGCATGTTTTTCAAACTACTAGGGGCGGGGATTTGAGCCATGGTCAGCCATATGATATCTGGTTCCCCATGCACAGTACTTAACCATTGTGCTATGGGGTGAGCCTATAGCAGCTACCATTTTCTGAGCACCTATTATGTGCCAGGTACTTCATAGCTTTCTTTTAAAATCTTTACAGATAGGGCCAGCTAGGTGGTATGGTGGTTGGGGTGGCCATATTCCACATGGTTGACTATGTAGTTCAAGTCCTGGACCCTGTGGCCTGAAAAAAAGAAAAGACTCAAGATAGATGCCATGACACAAAACCTGAAGCTCAGAAAGGTTACCTCACCCGTCTGAGGTCCCACAGCTGGTAGGTGGGCAGAGCCAGGACTTGCCACATGAGCGGGGCCTGCTGTCCTAGCTGAGCCCAGCTCTCAGGGCCCCGGGACCCCTGCTTCTTCCCTGTAGGCTTGAGGGAGCTGCGTTTTGTGTGCATGGACTCTGCCCTTGGGATGTCTGTCCAGGAAGAGCTGTGTGAGCTGGCACGCAAGCCTGAGGGCCGGCAGGAGATCTGCCAGGCTGCCCCATGCCCTGCTCGGTAAGTGGGGGATAGAGCCTGAGCCCGGGTTCTGACCTCTGGTGCATCAGCCCACTTCCTGCAGGTGGGAGACCCAAGCCCTCGCGGCGTACTCTGTGATCTGTGGAGGGGGGCAGGTGCCGCTGCTTGTGCGCTGTGTGAGGCTGGCCCGTGCCCATCAGTCCCTCTGCCTCACTCCAAGTGCTGATCAGTGTGCCAGCTTGGCCCCACCAAGGACTGCAGCCGGGAGTGTGCCCCACCAGGTGGGCACTGCCCAGGGATGCAGGTATTAGTCTGCATCCCAGCGCTGGCCTCACCTCCAAGCCCAGCCTCCTGATCCTCAGTGTCCTCTCCTGTAGGATGGGGCCGTGGAGCCCCAGAAGGCTACAGCAGGGGTGTTAACGAGATGATCCCGTGTGTATAGTGTGTCACGCGGGGTCTGGGCGGCTGTGGGCGCCCTTGGCTGACGGGCTGTTTATTCATTTCCCGCTCTCCGCTGAGCTCCTGCCCTGCACAGGTGCTGTTCCTGCACTGGGGCTCAGCGGTGGGGACACATAGCCCTGCATCCCTGTTCCTGCACTGGGGCTCAGCGGTGGGGGCCACAGCCCTGCATCCCTGTCCTCACTGGGGCTCAGCGGTGGGGGCCACAGCCCTGCCGCCCCTGTTCCCTGACTGGGCTCAGCAGGGAAGGCCACAGTCCTGCTGCCCTTGTTCCCGCACTGGGTGTGTGTGTGGGAGACAGGACAATGGCTGAGGCAGACTTGGAATGCAGTTTGGTGAATGGTGTTTGGACGGTTGGAGCAGGCTCCTAGGTAGTGGCAGGACTGGGATTGCAATGAGAGACAAGTCTCAGAGACGGGCCTCTTGCTAGCCCCTTGGCCCCTGCCCATATGGCCTCTTCTGTCAGATGCAGCTTCCGTCCCCTGCCCTCAGCTTGCCCTTCTGTGAGTAGGTCTGCATGTCTACTGTGGAGCTGCTGGGTGGGCTAGTCAGGGAACCCAGGGAGAGAGGCCCTTCCTGGCCTTCTGTCCCTCCCTGGTCTGTGGGCCCCCCTGGTCTGTGGGCACACAGGAGTCCTGGCTCCTCAGCCTCCACGGGGCTGCCGGGCCCCCTGACTGCCGGGCCCCCCGGCTGCTGTCTGTGAGGTTGGGTACAAGCCGGTGGCCTGCAGTGTAAGCTGCGGGGGCGGGGTTGTGCAGAGGGCCCTGTATTGTGCCCCGTCTCCCAGGGAGGACGATGAGGAGGAGATCCTGCCCGACTGGCGGTGCCAGGCGCTGCCCCACCCGGAGCCTCAGGAGGCCTGCAGCCTGGAGCCCTGCCCTCCCCAGTCAGGCACCCAGTGACAGGAGGGGTGGGTGAGGGGCAGGTGGCTCCTGGTGTGGCAGGTGCCAGGTGGGCACCACAGGGTGACTCAGTGGCACAAGGGTCACCTGTGGGACAGTTCCACCTGGCCGCTGTGCCGTGTAGGAGGGCAGCTTGAGCATGACGCCAGTGGGTGGCCTTCTGATGGGCACAGCCATGGGGCCTTGGGCACTGGAGAGGAGCCAGGGACAGGGGCAGGGGTGGTGGTCCCAGTAGACAAGGAGAGGCCCGTGCCCTCGCTGTGGGACCTGAGATCGTGGTGATGGGGGATACCTGCCCTGGCTTTTCTTCCATGGTTTCTTTCAGATGTTTTACTTTTTTTTTTTTTTTTTAAATTTTTATTTTGCCAGAGAGTGTGTGTGCTCGTTGGGGGCGGGGGGAGTGAGAGAGCGCCCAGTGGGGACGGTCACACCACAGTCCCTTCCCTATTTCTTCCTGTCAGGAGTTTGTCTCAAAGGCCCAGGCTTGGCCCGCGCAGTCAGCCATGTGGGATCCAGCCACCTGAGCCACTGCGCCACGGGCCAGCCCAGCGTTGTGTTTTAACTAGGAGATGCCCTTCTGTATGGGACGTACGTGTCCAGGAAAGGGCGCAGCAGACCCCGCGTTCCGCACCCCGGGCCTGAAGCTTCGTAGTGCCAGGCGTTCGTCGCGTCGCTAAGTCGCTGTCACAGACGCAGCTGCGTTTATCTAAACCCTTAGCTCTTGCTCTGCATGGGATACTGCCCAGTGGGGACTGCGCTTCACTTCCCAGTCAGTGATGGCAGCATGGGGTACCTGGGTCCCCGAGGCGCCTCTGTCGCAGCTTTGGTTCCCAGAGCTGTGGGCATCTGTGTGAGCACCCTGCCAGCCCCTCTCCCAGCTCCTCCCCCTCAGAGCGAGCTGTGGCTTCACAGTCCGTTCTGCTTCATTTCTTTGCTTAAGCTAAAACCCCTTGGCTAGGCACCCCATTTATCTTTTTAAAAAAGATCCATTTTATTTATTTTTATTATTGTTGTTCTTTTTATCTTGCTATAGTCATCAGAGAGAGAGAGACAGGGAGGGAGGGAGGGAATATGAGGAAGCAAGTTGTCAGGTCTGGGCCTTGAACTGTGGTTGGCCATGTGAGAGTTCAGTACCCTAACCACCATGCCACCCGCTGGCCCCACTCCATTTATTTTTCCATGTCACATTCAGGGCTGATCTGGAAGTTCTGGGGGATTCTACACACATGCACTCTGGCTTCCCCTGAACTTAGGTAGCTGTTCTGGGCTCTGCCGTCCTGGACCATCCCAGGGTCCTCCTGACTAAGGTTCTGTCCTTAGCTCCCGGCTGCCCGCCATCGTCCTGCCTAGTCTGAGCCCTCCGCACCCCTCCCCGGGCTCTGCACAGACCAGCACGACCAGGGACGTGCAGAGGGTGCTCCTGAGCACGGGCACCCTATGGCGGCCCCTGCATACCGGCTCCCACCTCACACTGCCTTGTCGTCGCGCTCTTCCTTTCTTAGGGCAGCCGGTTCTCAACCAGGGGTGCTGCGGCCTCCCCGGGGACACGGGCAATGGCTGGTGATGCTTTAATTGGCACAGCTGGGAGAGGGATCTGCTTCTGGCACCCAGTGGGCAGGGCCAGGGTGCTGCTCCCAGGGCAAAGAATTAGCCGGTCCCAAACGTCAGATGCCGAGGTGGGGAGGTGCCTCCACTCTGAGAGGTGAGCCTCGGTTGGGTCCACTCCACCTCCTCGGCTCCCAGAACAGGGCCGGGCCACAGAAGCATGCGCGAGAGGCAGCACCACGGTTGGAGGGCTGACGTTAAGACTACGGGCAGCTACGGGGTCCCTGGCCAGGCCCTGAGCAGTGCTGGTCGTGTTGTCGCGTGGTGGGGATTGAGCATGAGCAGGACTGATGGCCGGATGGCCCCGAGGGAAGGGTTTCCATGGGCCTGTTGCTGGGGCCCGTAAGCCCTCTGCTGTGTGGACAGATATGTGTGATCGGGCGGGACAGGAGGCAGGTT